TTGTGGAGGCACTGCCTCCTATTGCCTCTCCATCACACCAGTTCTGTGTATGGGGTTAATGATCAAAAACACAAAATTACATTATTATTAATATTGATAGTCAGACAAGAGTTTTTTTGTATATACACCAATAGAAAACCTTTAGCAATGATCTTTTATCATATTGGAAATATTTTAACACATTTGCATGTTCATTCCTCACACAAGTGTGATAACAAAGAGCTAATTTAAAAAGACTATCAAATTACTTACCAAGCCTATTAACTGTGATGAGGATTAGGCATGAAAAAGGAAGCTGAAATGCAGAAGTATACCAGTGCGTAATATAAACATTAAGAGAACAAACCAGTGTACAATCTCCATCTGTCTAGCCGCAATCTACTATCTAGCACCAGTATATATGAGGATAATGGTGAAAAGGTATGTAGATTCTTTATGCAGATTATATGCAGTGTAACATAGATGCAGATTGGCTGCATCCTAAAAGAGGGTTCATTTATCCATAATTAAGTTTGGTTTTTGGTGTGGATGCCAAAAGGGAGCAACAATCACTTGCTTCTTTTATTCTTTTTATAGCAAGATTAAATTACCTGTTTCTAGATTCCTCCAATTGTCCCAATGGACGATAGGTGGCATGGGGATTTTACTATCATCGCTTAGCTCTTATTTTACACTAAGCCTTAATCAAAAGGCTCCAGCAACAGATATACTCCATCGCTGTGATGATAAGATCTACCAGATGAATCCCCTAATAGATAACAATGAATTATCAGCCTGTAGTCATCCATTCATTCATGAAAATCAGTTTGGGGAAAACTTGGTTTTTAATTGTTCCAATTATCGAACATTATCTTCCAATGCACAGAACAACTGGTATGATACAAACACATATAATCAAAAGTTAGCATTTATTTTATTTCCCAGACAGCAAAACAAGACTCAGTATCATTTTTCTAAATACTACCCTTCCTCTAGAAAATGTCAGCTGAAAATAAACTTTGGTGCACCCTCCAAAATGTCTTTCCAGTGGCCTTGGGTGTTTGGATTACATGGCAATCTAAAAGAAATTACATTTGCCCAATCGCTTTTTCATATGATGTGTTCTCAGAAGGAGGTCAGCAATGGCAGCCCTTTTATTTGCCCCAGTATAGGTTTTCTTTTTTGTTAATGTTCAAAAATAATGTAATGTAAGTAGACAGTTCAAGAACTCCAAGCAGCTATTTAACAATAGACATTTTTATTGAAGACGATGAAGAGAGAAATATAAAGGAAAAGGTGCATTATCCCATATTAAATCATCAATAATAAATCATCTTTCCCTGTGATGGCAACCTTAACCTAGAATGTGTTTTTTACTGGATATCACATTTTCAATTGCATATTTGTTCTATGCACTTGGACATAATGTACCTTTCATTTGATGAACACACAGCTTTCATTTTCTCCTGTTCCACAAGTCCTGGCTTCATGCATTAAAGTGGCAACACTCAGTCAAATCAATTGTCAAATTCTACACTTCCTCTCTAAGTTGACAAGAAGGTTGCACAACTGCCTTGAGCCATATCTTTTTGGGTATTAAAGATAATAAGGGCAGATACAGTAATACAATCAAGTCTAAATCTAACATTGCTTCAGTGACAATTCTTAGCATGGTGTGCACATTTATCTGAATCGGATTACATGATAAAGCTAAGATTGCAAGTTACACTACACTTTTGAACCCATCTACATGAAAAAAAAAAAATAGCAAAACACATTTAAAGTGTTTAGCTTTCTATTGTGGTTCCCTTATTGTAGTAAAGTGATAGCAGGGAAGCAGGGAAACTCTGAAGAGCAGGCTTTCTGTAAAAATGGAAGTTTCCATTAGTGATAGACTCATTAATTATTCAGATTACCCCAAAAGATAAGAACATTTCTTCCATGCTGTTACTTTAAAGCTTAGTCGGAATTAAGTGCTAAAATTATAAATGTCTTCCATTCCCATTGTACTAATTACACCAAATGACTTTGAATATGCAATGTAAGTGTACTGCAGTGGAGCCTTACGGTGCTTCCTACAATTTTTACAGGAAGCGCCGTAAAAAATTTACAGTATGAGGATTCGATACAGGAAACTATTTTGGAAACACGGCCACTGCTGTAATAGCTGGATTAATGTACAGCAAGCAAAAGTAAGGTGGAATAAACAGCCATAGCACCCGCCAGGCTCACTTTATGCTTTGATACCAAGAGGTGGGATATACCACATTCAGCTAATAGCATGAAAGAAGCTGTTCATCTTCACTGATAGCAATCATTAGCAGAAAAGAGAAAGGAGAGAGTTGACTTAAGAACAATATAAAGGAAAGGCTGCTGGTAAGATATTTCTATGAATGTGTGTTGTCCTTTCTCCTATTCCTCTTCATCTTTATATCATTGTTGTACTTTCATTTCTAGTTGTCCTGTAAACGCAAGCAAAGCTGCAGGGGGGTAATATGAATAGAAATGTGCACAATGTCAAGGGGTGTGTCCTCGGAAGACATTGTCTATAATTGATATTATTATTATTATCGTTATTATTATTTTAAAGTGGACTTATTAAAATATGTTTTTCACATAAATCATTAGGGAACATACCAACATCACCAACCCACATTATTATCTTAAGTAAAGAGTTATCAACATTCATGCCATGAATTACAACTGCCACTTCTGAGTTACTTTGTAATCTAAAGCCTAAACACCCTTGACCACATGGTCATCGGCTACCAGGTGCATTGGGGGTGCTTTACATTCTTTCTCTATTTATTCTGTAGAGAATACATAGAGACTGCAAAACATTGTTCAACCACACAGAACCTTTTGTAAGACATGCAGTGAAAGCAGGGGCTCAGCATACACGACATTTGCATCAAATGGTATAGAGCCTTTATTTTAATGAGCCAATTTGGCTACCCTCGTGTTCACATGGAGGCTGATTTACTAAAGGTCTTAGGAATTTTCATTCAATAAATTAAGTGAAAATTGACTTTAATTATCCAATCATGTGAAAACTAAATTTCTGTTTACATTGGTAACAAACATTGTATGGATTCCCTAATCCCCTCCAATCTAGCATGCCCCCACACAGATCTTATATGCAGCACAGACCCACTATCCACTTTCCACATCAGCTGTTTTGGTCTAGATTGTTCACTTATCCTGCCTTCTCCAAACTCTTCACCCTTTTGTGAATAACCCTGTTACTTTTCCTGGTTAAAATGTTGCTTTGAGCCCCCTCCCCCCACAGCGCTGTATCCAAAAGTTTGGCCATTTCCCTCATAAAGTATGATGTGTATTTTAGCCCTTCTACTAATTTTTATTTGTCACGTAAACCTGCTAACAAAGTGCATGTTTTTTTCTGTTCCATATACAATATACATTGTCTTTTTTGCACAAAGAGGGTGGACAAGCAAGGAAAGTGATTGACACAGTATTTTCAGATTGGCAAATGTCAGTATAGTAACAAGATTCATTTTCAGGTTCTTTGAAGTGAAACATTATCCTAAATGTCTTTTTAGGTTTAGATAGAATGGGGAAGGTTTAAAAATGCTTGCCAGAGTTTTGTCACTTTTTGTGTCACTGTTGGGTAATTTCCCCATTAATTCCTGCTCTGTTGACACCTAAACAAGAAATGAGTGTCACTGGCACTAGAGGATAGAAGACAAAGATATCAAAAACTATATGACAGGAGTTTCAACCTTTCTCTATTCTACTAACTTAACATGTTTTTATTTCTATCTTCATCCATACTGAAGAAAACAGCCATTATTCCTGCCAGCAATATACCAGAAACTCCAGGAGTGAGGGGAAATCTCATCATTGGGCTTAAAGATAATATTAAAACCCCTTCAGCGGTACTAACCCTACTCCCTCTATTTCATTCGTAACAAAGGGTTTTGTCTTGAGTAGTACCATTCTAACTAAATCACCTCTGGCTATTTTTCTGTTTTTTCTTTACTATTGCAAATTGTAAAAGATAGCTCAGGAGGCTATTCGTCCACAGACCACTTCGCAAACACTGCACTGCAATGTATGTTAGAACCTAATCCATGTCAGAGCTAAAATCTAGAGGGTTTGAGACAATGTCATATCTGAGGCAAGAATCTGTTAATAGTAATACATACAGTATTTGCAGTTACCAGTATGATACACTCATACTGAAGACAAACTTAGTTTTAATTACTGCAGGCCGAAGTGGGAGTAATAATACATTATGTAATTAACTGTGTATATGAAAACCCACAGCAATAAACTTCTAAAGCAAATATACTGAAGTGGAAAAGACAACCTAAGCAATAAGTGCCCCCACCACATCGTTCATTGCAAAGTTCACACCAGTATGTTATAACACACATTTATGGTTAACATCATGGGAGAAAATACCATTGTGCAGACAGTGGAGCTGCCCAAGGGTCCTTTTGAACTTAGGGTCCCATTTATAGTATATGTGGGTCAGCCAGATTCTGGGACTTCTCCCACAGTGACGTAGACATGAACACCGCTCCATTCTTAGGAGAGGTGAAGGTTAGGTGAATAGCAGGCGCATCCCAATGATGCTCCAGGCTTGTAAAAAGTGATTTTTGGCAGCATGTAGAATGTTTCTCCATTTCCTGTGTTTTTATAAGATCCCAGTTGTTTATTGTGAACTATATCAGGTTACACCCCGTATCTATCTATCTATCTATCTATCTATCTATCTATCTATCTAGCATGACAGATAAACTGTTCTGGCACAGGAACTATTTGGTGACTTTGTCTGCCACTGGTTCACAGAGAAATCAGTATTTTATTCACATAGACTTTTGCTGAGCGAATCTAACATATTTGTTTTTGTAATGACTTGATGTACGTTTCTGGTTAGTAAAAGCATTCATGAATATTGTGTGATTTTTATGTATTCTCTTACAGTTATGGACTCCAAATTTTTCAACCTATCACAAAGTTCAGCATCGCCCAAAAACTGTACAGATGATATCAGAATGGCACAAATAGTCTTCCCTATCCTATACACAGTTATCTTCTGTCTTGGAGTCATCATGAACAGCCTATCTGTTTGTATTTTTTGCCAAGTCCCTACTAACAGTGTTTTTATTGTATATCTTAAAAATACAGTGGCAGCTGATATAATTATGACACTGGCACTGCCTTTTAAAATAGTCACAGATTCTGAAATTGCACCATGGCAGGTGAAAGTTTTTGTCTGTCGTTGTTCTGCAGTAGTATTTTACTCAGCAATGTATGTCAATATAATACTTCTTGGACTCATAGGATTGGACCGATTTCTCAAGATTGTGCGACCATTTGAAAGAAGATGCATGGATCGGCTTAGTGTGGCTAAACGGATATCTTTGTCAGTGTGGATTGTCATATTTGGAATATCAATGCCTAACATGATGCTGAACAACAAAACAGCAACACCTGAAAATGTTAGCCGCTGTTCTGCGCTCAAGACTCCACTGGGCATGGGATGGCACAAAGCTGTTACTTACATTAGCCAGTTAATTTTTTGGTCTGTTTTCATTTCCATGACGGTTTTTTACACAGTAATCAGCAAAAAGGTTTATGAATCATATAGAAAATCACACAGTAAGGACAAAACTGTGACAAAGAACACCAAAGCCAAAGTTTTTATTGTAGTAATTGTATTTTTCCTGTGCTTTGCTCCCTACCACTTTATGAGGGTGCCCTATACATTTAGCCAGAGTGGAATCATAACAGACTGCTCCCTCAAAAGAATGTTATTCCTAGCTAAAGAAAGTACCTTGTGGATTGCTGCCACCAATATATTCATGGACCCTTTTATCTATATAGTTCTCTGTAAGCCATTTAGAAAACTCTTACCCGGGTTTAGCAGTTTAGGAAACTCAAGCCAGGAAACACCTATAAATGAGTCAACAATGTAGACTAAATCATGTTAACTTTGGTTTAGGGATTAAGGATGATTATCATCACAAGTTAAAAAAAATTAAATAAAAAAGTTTTATATTACAGCATAGCCAGTTTTGAAACTGCTAGAACAAGATAATTATGTCAGGCTATGTTTCTTAATGTGACGCTAAACTCAGGAGTTAAATCTTAAAAATGCATTCAAATACCTTTTCTATTAACGAAAATGTATTTTATTTGTTTCCATCTTTTGTGATGGACTACAATCTCAATACAAATTAGTAAACTAACAGGATTATTCACAAAAGGGTGAAGAGTTTGGAGATGGCAGGAGAAGTGAACAATCTAAGACAGGGGGTGCCCACAATTTTTGTGTTAAGATCTACTTTTCAAATGACGAGCTACATGAGATCTACCAACGGAAAAAAAAACTCCCTCGCTCTCTCTCTCCTAGCTGTCTCTCATTGCTCATCCTCCTGGCTGTCTCTCTTTGCTCATACTCCTGGCTGTCTCTCCTTGCTCATCCTCCTGGCTGTCTCTCCTTGCACATCCTCCTGGCTGTCTTTCCGCGCTCTCTCTCTCTACTGGCTGTGATTCCTCGTTTTTTTCTCCTGTATGTCTCTCCTCGCTCTCTCTCCCCTGGCTATCTTTCCTCTTTTTCCTGTCTGTCTCTACCCGCTCTCTCTCCTGGCTCACCTTGCTGTATTTTGCAACAGGCTGTGTAAACTAATATTCTTTGATGTAATACATAGCACTTCAACCACCAGAAAGGTGTCAGGGAGCTTGGCTCAGCAGACTCAGGCTAAAAGGTAATCAGGTGTACAGCTAAATAAATATACCAAAATGGAATAAAGGGGCCGCCATTCACACCCTTTGGGATCTACCAGCATCATCTTTGAGAGCTACTGGTAGATCACGATCTACCTAATTGGCACACCTGATCTAGGACAACATAGCTGAGGTGGAAGGTGAGCTGAATTGGAGAATTTTGTCCAAATCAGCTATTTTGGCCTAGATTGTTCACTTCTCCTGCCTTCTCCAAACTCTTTACCCTTTTGTGAATAACCCTATAAATGTGAGATTGTAGTCTATTACAGGCGCAAGTTTGGAGTGGTGGCTACTTTAAAACACACACAGGGACCATGGGGAACAAAAGTAGCCACCCTCCGGAAGGAAGGACAGTGTCAGCACAAATTCAGAGATCATCTAAAGATCTTAAGCTAAGTGATACACAAATATAGTACATTATTGTTAATAGTTAAGGTACTTGAATGCATTTTTAAGATAAACATTTTTTATTTAGTGTCACTTTAAAGATTAACTTATAATATTAAATATTTATATTATATTTAGCTCGTCCTCCCACTTGAGACTTCAAAACAGTAGGCAACCTCTCCCTAGGTCCATGGCTTATGCAGGTGGCTCTTCCATGTTCATCAGAGGCAGCAGACTGCACATCTGTGGGCTTTTTTTCATGGATCCAAATGTGGAACACACTTACTAAGTAGAATGCTTTTTCTATGTCTGGAGAACATGGCACACATGTGCAGTATACTGTGGCCTGCAAGTTCAGTGGAGAATGAAAGAGCTGTCCAACCATGCATAGGTCGCCACCCATGGACAAGGTGATCCGCTGTTCCATGAACAGTGCATGTTTTTCACACATAACAGTATTTTAGTTATATAAATGAATTGTAGTTTCTAGGTGTGACAGTTATTTAAACCTGTGATATTATAATCAGATGTCAAAAAATGCATATACATTTAAAAACGTGTCTGACTGAAAACCAAGCTATATCTTTGTTTTATTGTGTATACAGAAATATGTTTTTACCTTACAGTATAATAAAATGTACCCAACTTCTCAATCAATGCAAAAAAGTGCTCTTCTGGAAAAAAAAAGGAATGACCTAAATTTTAACTTGTGCTGGTTATATAAATGGCCTCTGTTTGCAGCATTTGAGAAACAAAGCTAAACAACTTTAATACTACAAACAACAAAATAATAACACTTTCAGGCACAGGTTTCTGAATATCAGGGATGTGCGGTCTGGGGAGTGAGGCAGAGCCTTACCTGCCATTATGGAAGAAAAAACGGTCAGCTTCCAGTCCCATAAGGGAGCAATGCACATCAAGGGAAGTGATTCCTGCACACCAGTAATTCTGTCATGATCACCAAAGTGATATCAGCCTAACAAATGTATGTCAGGAATTCTAATAAATATCAATGCTACAACAATGCTATGTTCTGTACAGAGTGTGCTAAAACTTAAAGGAGAAATTATTACAAAATGAGGAAAAATGCAGACTACGCACTTTTTTTTTTTTAACAAAGCTCATTTACATTGTGCTTAGCAGAAAAACTACTGTATAAAGACTGCTTACAAGACATAACCTTTGCTTTACACAAAATGACTACATAGAGCAGCAGATGTATATGTGAAAGATACTTGTGTTGTCTATGATGCCAACAATCCATACAACATCATTATTACAGCTGAAACTTGAAAGTAATAAATGGGTAATGTGTCAGCTAAACACAGCTTTGCATTATTACAGCTTAAAGCAGAACTGCAGGGAAAATGAATCTTAACCTTTGCAGTGGGTTTACCCCTGCACTGCAAGGGTTAGGTGCTTGCTTTAATCTAGGGAGCAAAATAACAAAGATATACTCACCTGATCCTAGGAGCTGGCCAGCTGTAACAGCGCTCCCTCCAGCCAATGTCGATAAATGCAAAGTAATGCACTTTGGAGTTAAAAATAGGCAAATGGGCTATACAATTATGGGTATGCCACAGGGGAAGCCAGAAATGGAGAAAGATGTGGGGGTCATTGTAGACCACAGATTTAATAATAGCTTGCAGTGCCAGGCTGCTGTAAACAAAGCAAGTAGAGCCCTGTCTTGTATTAAGAAGGGAATGTATTGCAGGGACAAGTCTATAATTTTGCCACTTTACAGATCGCTGGTTCGGCCTCATCTGGAGTATGCAGTCCAGTTTTGGTCACCAGTCCACAGAAAGGATATCCTTGAGCTGGAAAGAGTCCAGTGGAGGGCAAACAAACTCATTAAGGGATGGAGGATCAGAGCTATGAGACACGGCTACTAAATTTATATATGTTCATGTTGGAAGTAAGGAGATTAAGGGGCACATGATTTTCATGTACAAAATGTTCAATGGTGATAGCAACATCAGCAACAAACTCTTTACGGTTAACTCCATAATAAAGACTACAGGGCACCATCTAAAATTGGAGGAGAAAAAATTTCAGCACAAGGGGCGAAGGGGGTTCTTCTCAGTTAGAGCGGTTAGGGTCTGGAACTCGCTGCCACATGCAGTGATTTCAGCTAAGAGTGTGGAATCATTCAAGAAGCTCTTGGACGATTTCCTTAGAGACCATAACATACAGGGGTACAGGTACTCCTAAGAACAAGATCACACATGGACTCATACACACTCACACACTAGCAGAACCATATGCATACACACAATAGGTTGGACTTGATGGTCTTTATTCAACCTCAAATACTATGTAACTATGTAACAATCTCCTTCTCTACTGCAGGGATGGTAAGTCCCTCAGCGTCCTTATGTCCTATACACAGTGTATAAGATGTGATGACTTAAAGGAGAACTATGGGGTTAAGGCTTTTCCCCATAGTTCTCCTTAGGGTAACGGGAGGACACAAACTAGCATCCTCCCGTCACCCTAGGCTCAGTATACCGCGAGCTGTAGCTTGCGGTATACTGAGACGCCACAGTACAGGTGAAACTTGAATAATTAGAATAATTAGAATATCGTGCAAAAGTTCATTTATTTCACTAATGCAACTTAAAAGGTGAAACTAATATATGAGATAGACTTATTACATGCAAAGCAAGATAGTTCAAGCCGTGATTTGTCATAATTGTGATGATTATGGCTTACAGCTCATGAAAACCCCAAATCCACAATCTCAGAAAATTAGAATATTGTGAAAAGGTGCCATATTCTAGGCTCAAAGTGTCCCACTCTAATCAGCTAATTACGCCATAACACCTGCAAAGGGTTCTTGAGCCTTTAAATAGTCTCAGTCTGGTTCAGTAGGAATCACAATCATGGGAAAGACTGCTGACCTGACAGTTGTGTTACAATCCTTGTTTTATTGATTGCATGTAAAATTCTAATTTTCTGAGATTGTGGATTTGGGGTTTTCATGAGATGTAAGCCATAATCATCACCATTATGACAAATCACGGCTTGAACTATCTTGCTTTGCATGCAATGAGTCTATCTCATATATTAGTTTCACCTTTTAAGTTGCATTAGTGAAATAAATAAACCTTTGCACAATATTCTAATTATTCGAGTTGTACCTGTATACCGCGAGCTGCTGCTCGCGGTATACTAAGACGCCGCAGCTGAAGGGGATCCCGACAATTATGAGCTACTGAGCCAACCTGTGACAGTTTTATAAAATTCATTTCAGTACAGCGCTGCATGACGGAATAAACGTCAGTCAAAGTACCGCAGCGCTGAATACTGAAAAATGGCCTGGCCAGGAAGGGGGTCTAAACACCTGGTCTTGAAGTGGTTAAGAATCCTTAGATAGCTGCAGCAGAGGGGAAGAGAGGCTCCAGGGACCTGTCTAATAGCCAGCCAGTTCTGAGAATCAGGTATAATTTTGTTATTTTTTTACCCTAGGCAAAAACAAGCACCCCCGACTGCAACGGTAATTTCCCCGGAGTTCTTCTTTTAGGTGTGTTTCCACGTTTGCAGCCAAATTGGGATAACACTTATTTTATATTTGTTACTTGTTATCCATTCACATTGCATAACTTATTTTTTTTATGCTTGCACAACACATGCTCTTTTCTGAATGAAAAGTTATTCTCTGTACTAAGTTTTGCTCTGAATGGGCTGGGTAGATTAATGTTAACATAATAAACCTTTTCTGTACTATGCTAGCAGATCTCATTATCATTTGAACAATATCTGCCCTAACAAAGGGGTCTATTCCCTAGGCTGCTGAGGGCAGCCGAGTGAATGAC